TGATGTTCTAATGAGAATGGAATCAGTAGCAACAAAATTACTAGACTCTAAATAGTGCAGAATTGAAGGAAGAGCCCAAAAGTCATTGACCCTTAAAGATGCTCTTGCACAAATTCGAGACACTGTGCTGTAGTGCACGGAATTCGTAAGAATGGTGTTGATATTGTCCCCACCTTTATCCCTTACCAAATTTACTTTTAGATCTATCAGAAGCCAACTTTTCCTACTTGACTCAACAACCGAGCAATGGAGGCTTTGTTTATGAGGAGGCCATGGGCTTCCAACCTGCACCCTTCTGTTCGCCTAGGGGCACTGCGACTGCTACCCTCATTGCAGAGGTGACACCTACCGCTGCCACTCAATCTTCGCATGCGCAACTGGTGGCTGCTTCCGCCACTACCGGCCCCGATGGCATCATACGTCTCTCCTGTCTGCCTCCCAAGCAGGCTCACACGCTGGGCAGATGCAATTTCCTCAGTCAGAAAAAATTAGTGAGTCCTGCTGGAGCCTTGATCATTACTTGATCAAGTGATACAGGCAGAAAAGCTTAAAAATAAGACTACTGCCATTAAATAAAAGTTAAGAAGTCTTCATAAAATTGCAGGTCATTGGCTGGAGGGGAGAGTTGTTCGATTTCCAAAGACGACCAGAATGCCTCTGTATTTTGGCATTCGGCAATAATTCAAGTGGATTTGCTGCATATGTAAAGACTGCAACTATCTTTTAGCATAAAAAGTGGCAGGAGACTCATCCTTTAGATAGTTCGGTAATTGGTCAGAAACTGGTCTTTTAATTCAAATGAAAGGTCAGTTTTAAGAAATCAAATCAGCAAAGGCGTAAAAAGAAAAGATGATTTTAGCATGAGTTTGGAACGATGATTGAGGCTACTAAACGTTCACTTGCTTAATCCAACTTTTGGATGATTTTGCCTTCCCATTTCTGAGAAATTAATTAGTAAATAGGACGAGTTTCTCCGTATGCACGAAAAATTATTTGAATGAAATGACAAAGTTGCAATGACTTTTGACCGTATCTTCAATGCCTTAGCAATCGGAGCATTGAATTAAATAGACAAAACACTTCAGACGCGATCCGAAGTTTTACAAGGGCCCATCATTTTGCAAAACAAATTAGCTAGTAGGAAAACCTTGATTAGGTTCAATTTGGTGTTAGAAGCAAAATTTTGGGACTTTATCGTTTTCTTTTCTCCGGACCCAAGAGGTCGCTTTCTCTGTTATCAAACAGCTTACAAAATATGGTCGAAATTTCATGCCAATAGTCTTCTTGAGACATTTTTAAAGAAATCGGTCATCGATGTCATTGTTCGCAAAAAAGGCTGAATGTATCATTATGGAGGGAACTGAGATACTCAATCGTCCGTTGAAAGTGTCTGTGTGTGTGTCCAAATAACTGGCAATGATGACAGCCCAACAAAGTCAGGAAAAAGGGGACGAAAAAAATGCTCGGAGTCGGGATGGATCTCAAACCAGTTCATTGCAATAAGAAAATCCTGTCTACTTTAAAGTCAAATTGTTTTCAACGTAAATATAAGGCTTTGCACAATGGTGAAGCCATTGGTTGTCAAATAATACCAAACTTTTCGCTATTTTGTATGTTTACATTTTTTTCTGATATTATGCGTTGCTTCTTTTAGCTTTTTAATTGTACCGTTTAGGCTACCACATACATAAAAAACTAAATAGCAAAGACACAATTTTTCTTTTGTTCCTGCGTGCTTAAATTACTTGTTGAATTTTATAACCTCAATTTAACGAAATGATGTGATGAGAAGGCACAATGTTACGAAGAGATCTAATTCAAAGGGTAAGTGTCTCCAATCACATATTTTCCTGTCCACTGTAGCTGGTGGAACACAATGAAACGGTTGCAAGTTGTACTGCTCTTCATGCTGGTCAACTTAAACATATCTTAACTAGTTCATTCTCCTAGTGTTTTTATTTGATACATCTAACCCAATAGCTGGATGTCAAAGTGATTGGCAAGAACTTCCAGACGTCACTAAAGAAAAGCTGACACGACACTTTCCAACTTCATTGGCTGGCATTTTGACCGATACGTTGAAGTGTACAACTGGAGTTGATACTTTTACATTAACCGGAGAACTTTAAAAAATGGGAGTTAGTCCGCAACGACTGATGCATCTGTGCCAGCTATTGCTGAGAAATGCTTATTTTTAACACAGTAGATGAAAAATTATTTTTACTACTTCTTGGAATAGGGCTGCTTCACCTTTGGCTCTAAATCTCTGCCAGGGATTATGAATCAAAAACTAGGTTTTAATCATAATCATAAAAAATAAATATTTATGAAGTCTGTCATTTTGAGAAGATGAAGTAAAACAATGGATAATTAACTACGTTTTTCCCAAAGTCAATGGCATTTTAAAAGGACAACTTCGTTTGCAAAATAAAAATCGGCAATTACACTACATGGTTTTGCACTGCCTTATTTGCGGCTCGACCGCACCTCAACTTAAGTCCTCGTTTTAGTGCATTTAACTAACTTTCGTCTTTAATCAACTCTTCAGTCAACTTGATGAAACCTATTTTAAGTCAGAGCGTGTACCTGGTCTCAACAACATGACATTGACGGTCAACTCACCACTGCCTGCCTTCATCCCCACTTCTCTCGTCCCTTCGCCGTTTCAGGACTCGCCTTTGCTCGAAGCGATACTGAATGGT